ATCTAACTGAGTTGTCATTTCGTCTCTCTTATAGCTGTCAACGAATACCTTGATTACAGTTATGTTTTGAGGAGTTAGATGACGTTTATGATTAAGTAGGGTAATGCGTGGAAAGACAAGACAATTCCGCGAATACCTGAAATTCACCAGATGTAATTTAAAGTTGGAGTAATAAAACTGACAACTCTTTTCCCCAGTGTGTAGTTTGTATGAAACTTTTAAAACAACACGCACGGAGAGACACCATTTTATTTCATGTTGCGGAAATCGACATTTCTACCCTGAAAAGTAAAATAAAAATTTTCTCACTACGAATGCTATTAACATAATTGACATTGATATTGACAAATCTGTGGGTTTTTTTTTAACGAATCTGTACCTGGCAAGTTCTTCTTTCTGCAATATTGATCAATTTCCACCACCAGCAGCATGTGTAATGTGTTAATACCATGTGTAGATAAATATTTTCTTTAATATTGCAATCAATATATCTTAAAATATGATAGTTATTTACACATTTTCAGAAGGAAGTATTAGCGTGAAATCCTATAACAAAAACAGAAAATGCAAACCAGTTGTATTCATGGCACCCGAATGTCTTCTAAGCATTGTCAAAACCACTTATTTTTGTCAAACGCTGTGAAAGCTTTTGTCGAGGACATTGCGTAAACACTTAAACAGAAGAAAATCCTTTAGATGGTAATGCGTTGTGTTACATAGAAAGGCTTAAAATGTTCAGTGACGTTCAATTAAAATGTTCGTACATAAAATGCCAGTTTTGCAAAGTTGCTCTATCATATATTTATCAAATGCAAGGGGACTTTCATATATGCTTTGACCCATTAAAACATATAATGAAGACCATCGTATTTTAAGTCTGATACTTCCGTTGTTCTACTTTGAAAAAATGCTCTCTCGCAATGTACAAATCTCGACCATAATGCGATGCCTGTGTTAAGGGTTTTTCATTTAGAGTAATTTATAACCCGTTTCATATAATTCAAAGAACAAATCCGAAACAAACACATTTCATAATTGTATAGGACAACGTCGAACGTAAGAGTAGACTTTTAACATCTCTGTCGTGAGCAGCATCCCGCTTTTCCAATTTCAGATATCAAACACAATTTAAAAATTGCGATTGTTAGTAATCTAATCAATAAATCAACGTGTTAGAGTTTCAAGGATAACATTCACACGGTTATTAAATGTATTCCCGAAAGACATCATCTTAATTCTAACTAATGTGATGTTGTCTGACTTAAAACTGTATGAAGATATTTTTTTGCCAATTTTTACTTTTAGAATAAGGGACTCGCATGCAATAATGACGTATAAATCCGTTGGCAGTGAAGTTGATAAACATAAACATGGAGATTAATTATTTTATTCACATTCACATTAAATCCTTATATTCAATCATTTGTTCGACATTCACATTCACGTCCAATATTTAGACTTATGTCTATCTTTCACTGTCCAAATGTTCAAGTTTCTGGCACTTGGCGCATAGCATTGACACTTTTACAAATAATATTCGTCTTTTTCACTCTTGTTAGGTTCAACGTATATTTTTTCTGTGGTATATACACTTGTGAACATTCACTTTTTTACGTTCAATAAACATCCATAGTTAGTTTCAGGTTGGCTGTATTATTCACCTTTTCGTTATCAAACACCTACTTCTTTCTTGTCATACATAGATGCACGTATACTGTTCACCATAAATGTTTGATTTCTTCACAAAAATTCTTCACAAATACTAATTTTTGCGAGACTTTTATAACTATGGATTTGTCAACATGTTTAAGAGAGACAACAAGAGAATGCATTTGTATAAAAGATTTTCAATAATTTCATTTTTTCTACATATTTAACTTTATATTGACCGGAAGCATTAGTTAAGCTTTTTAATGTTATAATCATTAACAAATATATATCATGACAGAATCTATTGACGGGGAAACAAACATGCAGTTGTCAGGACGGAACGAACTGAGATTTGAAATATGGATTATCAAATGAATTTTAATTTCATATGGGATTTTATCAAACGAATCTTAAGAAGTTTTCATTTTTACGAGTCTTGACGCACAACTTCGAGGCACGGTTTGTAAGATTACATATGAAATTAATTTAGTTAAGTTCTACCACATCACTCAAAACAGTGAGGTTTTTGACAGGTTTAAATGTAAAAATGTGGACAAACAAATACAAGTGAGGAAGCTATTTTGTTGTGCCATTTTCAATTAATGGCACATCGTAAATGTCCATGATTTAACACAACAGTCGATTTCTGACAGGCGTAGCTAACGAAAATCGTACCGGGTTATACAACATTAGTGGCAATGCGATAAAATATGACATGGGTGAATGCTTTGGATACCTGAACAAATAAGTGGTAATATGATTTATGTCTAGTATTGGCTGTGCATTACACAAAGTTTGGTTACCGAGACAACTATGTTTTACAGCTGAACAGTGATTTTTCAGAAATAATTCATATTTGGTTCTTTTTCCCTGTATATGGAAAAGTACAGTGTATGTGTGTGTGTGTGTGTGTGTGTGAGAGAGAGAGAGAGAGAGAGAGAGAGAGAGAGAGAGAGAGAGAGAGAGAGAGAGAGAGAGAGAGAGAGATTTTCTTTGTAGAAAGCATTTAGTATATCATATTTTCAAATTTATAGATAGTATGGTCTGTAATCATAGCTTTTTTGGACATCATATTGACAATTTCTAGTCACTATACATGAGGATTTTCAAAACGTTGAGAATTTATGAATGGTGAATTGTCCTTCCTATAGCAAAACGGGTTAAAGAGATGTGGTCGGTCTTTAACTTCTTACACGACAGGTGAACAATGACGTCCAGTATGTCAGACTTAAGTAAACAATGCTTTGGTCTGAACATTACTTAGTATTGACCCTAAACACTTGTTGACCAAGCAATATTACCTGCTACACCTTCTATTGTGTAAAGCACGTAAAAAGGTTGGAAAAGAACCCACTTCCAGTATAATAAAGAAATATACATAATGGTATTTATTTTATGTATGTTCAAGTCTTAATATTGGATATTTTTGTTCAGAATGACAATATCTGTGTCAGCTCTTGAAAGTTATTCCTTGGGAAAATCCATAAATAGGTATGTTGATGTCAACTTGAATAATAACGGGCCAGTTCATCCTGTTATTTTTTTCCGATGTGATATATGGCCTAAATATACCCCAATCTGTTTAATCTACCAACGCAGTGTTGGCATATAACGAAGCAACATATTTCAGTCGCGATGTAGAAAGATGAATCATAGATTAATAAAAAGTCTGAATTAACTTTTTGCCGAAAAGGAAAAATGAGGATTATAACCGATAAATGCATACGCCATTTTCGATTGCGATTCGTGTACGTTGCCATGACAGGTTCTTTAAGAGTTTTGTTCAGTAACTGACATAGCACCTAGTTCTGATGGTGTATTTGACTTGTTATTTTTATTTATGATCAGTTCTCACGAGCTTTTCTTAGGTTATCTCCTCCTATTCCCGTGATACATACATTTATTTGGTAATACTCACCGATTCTTATGTGTCAATTCACTCTCTAGTCTCCCCCTCTCCATCCTCCCCCTCTCATTTCTCTCATCCCTACACATATCGGAGGCCATTACCTTTCCCATTCATTTCTGATCTAAATGTGCTGATTGAAAGGACCTTAAGGGGTCTAACTACATCTGTTGTACGCATAACGAGGAATATATATACTTTTTCACGACCTTGCCTTTATATCAATGAGTTGGAATATTATCTCTGAGTGCTTTACAATTCATTAGAGACGATCACATCAGGCAGTGATTTGCGTTTGATGAAAACAGTTAGGGGGTAAACAGCCACCAAACAGGAAATGATATTTCAAAAATTTCTTTCGTTTTTAAACAAAATACAATATCTTTCACTTTTAGAATTTTTCAGACATTTTGCAACTGTTTTATGCACTCCATGGGTTAAAATCATTTTGGTAATTACCACAGTTCTTAATTCACTTATACGAGTACACATTAAGAATAGACGTGATCCAATTTCTTATTCCATAAATAATCATTGTATCATATTTTATATTTTCTTTTTATTACCAACCAAAAAGATACTGGTATCAATGTGACCTTACAACTCTGCCGTTAACCATGTTTGTCATTGATATCACTACAGATGTATGAACTCTGGTGTCAGAATCTAAATATATGACACTGCTCACTGTATAAATATATATATTAATATGTGTTTGTGTATTTAGATTGATAGAAATCTATTTGAATCTGTGAATAATTATCTGTAAATTCAAATATGTATAAAATACTATGAGTTACCGCTCTACCGAACCCTTTTTTTGCTAGCAAATCAGATAACATGTACGTCATTGCAATCTGATTAATATACATTCATCCTTGATACATATTGTCCATTCTCACACTCCCTATGTGCTATGAGCGTTATCGAACACTCTGAACTAGGTACTTTTGTACTTGTTTCCTCATAAGTATATTCTGTGTGTATCTAGATATATTTACCCCATTACCTTTAAATCTCTAAATTACCGTTTATGTGTTCCTCTTCTCGAGGTCATACACTTACATCATCAGGATAAACAGTATAAAAGTGTGCATTACATATAAAGTTTTCATTTCATGATACGTTACCTTTCAAAATCACCATATGCATTTGCAGAGCATTAATTGTTTTCAAAAAATATGATATTGCAGTTTCTATCACGTCAATTTGACTGATGCACTGCTAAACATACACAATCATAAAAAATGAGAATAATCATCATTTATTTATTAAATTTTTCGAACGTCCTTGACTTCTAAAAGCAGAATTTCTTAAGTACCTTGGTATTGGTAACTAACCATGTATACATTTTCAATAGTTTGCGCTTAGCTAGTAAGTAATTATTTATATATGTACTTTTCTGGGATATATCTGATGAGACCGCTTTGTGATTTTCATGTAGGGGAAGAAATGAAAATGAAGTTATTGCGCGATGCAGGAAAAAATCGGAGAGATCCGAACAGAAAAGGTAGACATGCGCACTATAGATCCATTTTTTACCATTTTTTCTTCCTAATTTTAGTTGCTTAAAAAGCATTTTTCATATCCTCGTGTATCTGAAACTATGTGATTTTTCCTCACTTTGATATTGTCGCTTTCATCGTTTGTCACCGTCTCTTATCTTGACCAGTGTTTCTTTTCCCCACGTCATGCCTGCATCAATACCTTTCATTTAATTTTATTTCAAATTTTAGCAACCTTTTGATTCCTCACAATTCTCTTTCTATATTACATTTTTGAATGAATCCTTTTGCACACTTCACACTCGATTCTATCTTTTATATCGGAGTCTCTCCAACAAAACTATTGGTTTTTACCGAAAGTATCATTAATATAATGTTTGATTTAACGAAAACATTCTATTTTTGGAACAAATTTATTTACATATGTTCTGAAATTGTGCAGGTACGTCCTTATATCTTAAATATGTTTAATGTATAATTGCCTTTTTATTTTAAATTGTCAGCACCGGTCAAAGATCCAACTAAAAGAGAAGAGGGTAAGCTGTATGAAGGTTTAAGTAGAGTTAGTGAGTAACGGTTTGTTGTGCTACTTGCACTAACACCTTGCAAGCGTAAACTAACTGCACAGGTTTGGTACATTATCTAGCTTTTAACTCAAACTGCATTCACACCAAGCTTCGTTTAATTTTTCGTATGTTTTTTTCTCTTTTTTTCCCCACATCAAGATAATGATTGATGGGTGATATCTAGTAAGTAAGCACACGTTGTCAAAATGCACTTTTAATTCAACTTTTTAGTTTCCTGGTAAAATAAATAATGAAAAAAACGTTACAAAGTCCAACAATGCAGACTAATTTCTAATATAAAAATTCAGCAAAGACGTGTCATGTGTTTCCTTACATAAATGAATCACGTAACAGTACACAGAAATACAACCTAGAAATTAGTTGTGTTTATAAATTGTGTATTGGATTTTCTACAAGATATTTTGAATATTTGTAGAACCGATTTATGCTGTGACTAATGCCTGTAATCGTGGTGGATATAACATGAGTACACTTCAGTAAATAGGAAAACTAAATTAATCCAAAAACATGACGTAAATAATGATAATATATACATGTAAAAACAAAACAAAAGGCGATGCTCATTACGTTGCCAGACATATCCGCCTAGGTCAAATTGAAAGACACATATCCGAAGTTTCCTAACTACGATTATTGATATTTAGTATCTCTATTAATTAAAGGTATATGATTTTATTCGTGTTTCCATCATTGGTCAATCGTCAGATGACTTTTACTTCATCGAACGGCATTGCCTATCCTCCGTCTTGATGTGTTGCTGTCTGTCTTTTCGTCGTATTGCTGTAGTAATCCAGAGACATTCTAATAAATCATTATAACAACGGCTTCATTGTTAAAACGTACTCGTTAGATGGATTCACATATTGGTACTCATATTAGTACTGACCATGAATCGAAGGTTTTGTCTTCGAGTGATACATCTCTATATCAAAACTCAAAACTTTCGTCAATGAACAGATCATTTCATTTGTTTGCATATTGGCATTCTATCAAGCGTGACAATAAGAAATTGCACTCGAGGTTCCTCGTAAGTATTCTAGTACATATGAGACACCTTGCCATTCGCTGTATAAATTCGAAACGTTGCGTCGTAAAGGTGCATCCAAATGACCTCGTTTGTGTTTATAAATTCATTCACGTGGTTCAATGTGTAAACTCATAGTTTTATAAGGATATAATTCACAATTAGGAAACGATTTCAAAGTTAATATGACTAAAAATGATAAATAAAACCATCGTGCGTTTTGTTCGTACACACAAGATAATGCAAATTACGAGTAAACTATGTATGCCATTTTGGCGCTTATTATATTTGTGTTCACTTGAGTGAACTTTTATGATAAAAGTGCATATAGTACGCAATTTAAGACAGCGAAAGATCCTTTCATAACATACCAGCATTACATTGTCATTGCCAAAATCGTTGGCCTCTGTATAACACTTTCTCGTCCCCCATGCTGATGACATAAGCTCATGCCCAATTTCTTCAAAATCACATTCCAGTAATTTATCACATTTTTCGCTATCAGCTTGATCTGTTGCAAATAAGGATTTAGAAGTGTTTTCGCTTGTAATAGAATTTAGCGAAAGAATCGATTTTTCCTGGACTGCTAATGTTTCTATTACAAAGGATTAACGGAGGGGAAATATCAGTTTTTATATAAACAAACCAATCATTAATGACGCTCATAGAATGACATGTAGGTATTGATCTGTTCATGAATCGAGAGAGTACAGAGTCACAATTAGTCTGTTATAGTACGTGAACTTTTAACTTCCGGTGCAGAGAAAAAAAGGTGAAGAAAATGCAGGTTTGACATAAAGTGTCACTTTCAAAAGGTGTAACTTTATCATATTAAGAAATATATTTTGAACAATAATTGCCTCGGTTGATCCAAGAAGAAATGCCTTACGATTGCGTAGCTTTAAGAAGATATTTTTAGCATCGCTTTGTAATCATCTCTTATATCAATGTAATATCGGACCTAAAAGCAAATTATACTGATGTCTTCTGCAAAATTAAATAGGTTATTTCAGGGTTCAAAAAGAAATTTGAAGACTTGGCACATTTTTTCAAAGCTGAATATGTTAATTTAGATGCTAAACACCGAAGAACGTTCCTATCGCTATCCCTAAGCATCGCTTAGAATTTTTTCTACTTTATCAACCTTCTCCGTTGACTAGCATGCAAAATGAAAACGAAATATAAATCTTTTGTCTGAAAACGTCCCTATGGATTCAATAGCTGTTACAGTAATCAAGAAATTCATTTTGGTGGTGATTTTCGTCAAACAAACTAGCTCTTTTCCATTTCATTGCTAAATTGTGCTGGTATGATTATATGTATTTTTTACAAGTTTATGACATCTCTGCAACAGAGAAAGTTATCGTTTAGATGTATCAGTTTCGAATATCAAATTTGTTAATTGAAACAGTTGCTGTGTTTGAAATATGGATAAGATTAATTATCAGTCAGAATTTCAGCTATGGACGAATTTTTAACTAGAATATAACTACTGTTCCAAATAAAATTGCCAAACATATCACGTTGTTCGTTGATTGAACGTCTCAAACAAGAATAATCAAGCTTGCTTTTAAATTACATACAATATAGCAACTTACAAAAGTTTATAAAAATGCACTATTAATCCTGATAGGATAAGTATTGCTGAAATTTCTGAACAGATTCAATTCCGTTTATCAGAATGAGGGAATTTAGAAATTACTTGATTTCTTGGAATTCAAATGTTGATATAAAATTATTTGTAAAGAAAAGTGTTTTCTCACTTTCCTAAACAACATTTCAGTGACAGATACTAATACGTAAAAAAAACATTCACTCAAAAGTATTGATATTTACACACAGTCCGAACAAAATGAAAATTTCCATCAAAAGATTATCGATACTTATTCACTGTACTTTTTCACGTGGGGCTATTTTTCAGCAACACAAGTTTAAATATGAATATAACGCACGTTGATGGCTAGTGTTGGAATTGGTAAAAGATAATTGACGAAGATATTAAATGTACAGAGCTGTTTTTAATCACTGTGCTGTTGGACAGAATGTCAATCAGTTACATTGCACATGTGTATTATTAGTTGTATAGACTATTATAACATCTTTGTGAATCTTTTGATAACAAAAATGGGTAATAAAAAGATATTGCATTTATCATCAGAACAAAAACAATGATTGTTTTTCATGACGCTAAATAATGAACAAAGCAGAAATGTAGGATTTAATACAAAAGAAATAACAAATAGAAGAAATGCTGAAGCTCGAACGGAAGTTCAAAAACACAATTTACTACATGCCATTAATTTGTTTGTTGATTGTAATGTTTGATATGTATTGCTAATTATGACATCCTGCTTATAATTAATGCTATGCATTTTACACATGGCATGGGTATAGCTTCTATTTCTTTTTACTTCTTAGCGTGCTTTTGTAGAGATGACAACAGAGAACATAAATAGGTTAGATCACTAATAACACATGTACACGTGCGTTTGCGCGTGTCTTAGCATTCAACTGTCTGTTAAGTATTGATCACGAGTAGGTGGTTCCATTTCTTCGATGGGTTGCATTATGGTCGCTGTTATTAGTGGTTTATAAAGAATATTACACGTCATTACCGATGATATTTAGCTTTTCGTTTGGTTGACCTGCATTCCCTCAATAAGTACACCGCAAGTACATCAATAGAATTGTGTACTACCCTATTAGCTTGGCCTCTTGTGATCGCTCTTCTAGTTAATACTGCAAACAGGGTTTGATGATACGCCCAGGGGAGGTGATGCCCGAATGCTCATAAGACTTCAAAGAAACCAGCAGGGCATTCAGAAGTACCATAGCTTTCCTGTATCGGGGACAGATTCTCTTAATTCCTATTCTATGCGCCTCAAACATATTTGACAGAATAAATTCAATATGTCTCAAAGCATTTACCCCGACTGTTAACATCTTTAAAGGCCGAATTGCATGCTCCTTATAATGATTAAAGTTCTTTGTATCAAGTGTGTTTATATGTATGCATGTGTTAATTAAAACTTTTCTTGACTTCAGTATGTAATATTTTTTTGTTTCTTTTGAAGGTGTTGCATTCTTATCTTAGTTATTTTATACACTTGAATGTACTTTATGAACACCCCTAAACTAGAAACCAATCGAGAGCGTGTCTCTTTAAAATGCAATACTGAATGAAACAACGGAAAGGAAATAGTCATGATTTTAATCTTGTATACATTGTTGGTTTCTTCTCATCATGATATAATAGCATTGTGCATTTCTTACAAGTTATATATATTTGTAGATCAATGCATTCTCACCGACTTGTTACTTATACCATGTATGTCATATACATGTATATCATAAGGATAATAAAGAGGATGATATCAAAACTCCCCACTTTTCATGATCTTCTGCACGTGTGTATAAATTTTGTTCGCCATCATGATTATTTGAAGAATTTCCAATTTTATAATCTAACCAAATAAAATGAAAATTGAATGAAAACAAAACCTTAGGATTAAGCGAAATACGTTAATACTAACCACGTTTTGTTTCTTATGAAATTATTTTATTAACGATTTCTGACGATTATATTTCAGACACAGTTTCAAGAAGCACTAGTAGATTGGATCGGACAAACGGGTCTTCAGCGAGTTCAAGGACTCTCTACAGTACATCGTCTTTGGTTATACTGTTGACTGTTTGGTGCCTAGCAACGAGGTGACAAATAGTGTGTATTCGTTAACTAATATTGATATGTAAAAAAAACACCATACGTCACATTATTGAACTACAAAATACCTCAAAAGGTACTATCGACAGCAGAGCTATATCGTCATGTACTGCAGATGACGCGTTCGATGCCAATTCAAAATGGAAATTTAAATTCCATCCGTCTCAAAGCATCGTGTGAAAGATGGATGTCTTCAGCCATCCGGAGTCCCTGCGATGAATACGATCTATTCTGGTGTGTTCCGAAGGATTTGCGTCGTTGAGTCGATGATATATCTTGGTTGTGTTTGACAATTGCTGAAGTATCAATAGTGTTTATGCGTGAAATCTTTGTCATTACATTAAGAATGCGCTGATAGTTTAGACAGTTACCTTTGATGTATCAAGGTTAATTCAAGCTAGACAAACCCGTGCTAAGCTAAACACAGAAAATAACATTACGTCTATCATACACTCAGAAGAACTGACGTGTTCGAATGGATAATATAGGTTAAATTTAACATGCAACGATGTCACGTTTGGAAATCATCTCATTGTTTATACGAATACGGGAAAATTCATCATATTCAAGTGTTATTCAACACCGCATCAGAATATCCATCATTTCACATTCATCCCAACATTCAAAAGTGATGAGTTTGTCTTGTGAATATTTGAAAACAGTAATGACAATATATGGGTATTTTATATGTAGTTTCAATAAAACAGAACGAGGTTTGTTGTGAATGTCGTCAACAGAAAGCAGATGATATGTTCTTAAAGGACGTTGGTCCAATAGTAATTTCGAGCACGATTTATAGACAGATAATAACGATCTGACGTTATGTGGTCATGGTATTTGTAATAACATGTTTCATTTCATAAACGTTTACGTTGTTGATTGCTAAGGATGGTATCTAAAAACGCAGACAACTGTTCAGGAAAGTAAACCTCATGTGACTGTACGAAGAGTGTTTTGGACTGCAAAACACATTATTATGCAACCACATACAAGCATGTACATAGTTGCAGTGCTGTCGAAGATATTTTGTACATATATTTGTTACCATAGATATGTTAGATGTTACTCTGAGTCGAATGTCATATGTGACGCATTATCACATGTGTACACTGTCGTGGTAAACATAACCCACGATCCTTAACTAATTAATATTGTACATGATATGACTCTGTGGCTATCACTCTGCCTGCCAGTGAGGTATTCTTTATAATTAATGCTTGTATGAGAGCAGTCTTTGAAACATATCGTGTAAATATTCGAAATAAGAATGTCTTGCTTCAATACTGTGAATGGCTGTAGAGAGCGTGTGATTGAAATACGGTTACTTTATAAAAAAATTAATATATATATATATATGTATATGGTATATATATATTTAATATTAACTATTTAAACCATGTGAATAAGAACTGAAAAGATTTACACCTTTTAGGAGACTTGTCGCTCCTTGTATATTGTGTGTCAGCAGCTGTCACTACAGAACACGTGGTGTTAATTATGTAACTTTTGATACAAAAGAGCTCTGTTATGCCTATCCAACAGCTTAACATTTGACGAGTATATAATATATAGCATAACAAATATTCTGGCATTTCGCCGCGACATATTACAGTGTCTGGTCTCTTAGAAGGTTACAATACACTATAGGTATTGATACTATATCTTGATCGTGGTGTTTATTACTCATGTCAATAAACAAACAATTGACATCAGACCTATTTAAGCAAGAAACATATTGAGTTCGATACCGTGTTCTAAAGAATAAGAAAGATGAATAATGTAGAAACCGACATGACGTACAAACATTATCATGACATTATTGATAGATAGATTATAAAAGTGATTCTCTGCGTAAGATAAAGAATTCACTGTTAAACAATAAGATGTACAAAATGTGAATAATGATTTGAACTAATGACGGTTAGTGCAATACAATTCATTAATAAGCATGAATTTTATATTCATGGCATACCCGAAACATGTCTCACATGTAGTCTGTGAATTTTACAAGATTAAGTATTTTCTACATTGATACAATATTGAAAATAACAAAGCAGGAAAAATATCAATATTTCTTTTAGAGAGCATTTTTCTTGTTTGAAAAAAGTCGATGTGAGCTGAACCGCTTCCCCTTAGTTCCTGTTATATAGATATGGTTTGAAATATACAGTGTTCGCCATAAATGGAATAGTGACATTGCTTTCATTTTTATTTCGAGATGATTTTAAAAAAATGATCATTAAGGATAATATAACTCTGTCTTCAAACTCTCAGGTATTTCAATTTATTATTATTTTAAAAAGTATCGTCACTTTTCTTTGTTTAAGAATGTTGTTAAACAAGGGTTCAAAATACATTATTTCATAGCAAAATGACAAGAGAATGAAGCTGAGTAATCTTTATTGCTAAAAATAAAAAGACAGCTAAGTTACAATTGTTCATTTTAATAACATTAGGTACTATCATAATGACTTTTTTTTCTAGTGGTGTCAGATTTATAGCTTGAACCTTAATAAGCCTCATTCTGTGTTCAAAATATGTCAACTGTCCTATCATGTCATGAAACGTAAAACTAATTGTGTACAATACGTTTGAAAAAAAGAAGTAATATTTAGGAATACGTCATTTTCAATTTAGACAAAATACCACAAATATAAGAAAACCAAGGATTTTTTTTTTTTTTTTTTTTTTGACATAAAGCAAACATTTGCATGTGTTCATGTCATAGCTGGGTACCTGCACAATCACGTTTCGATACCCCAACATTTCCGGGTACACAGACATGTGAATAGATTTACATGTACCATTGTGTGTTAGAATGTTCATTCCATTTCTTCATAATTTGCAATAAAACGGGTCTGTCCCATTTAATTTATTCTTGTTAATTTTATCATTTGTAGTAATTGTTGGTATGTTTTAATGATAGTTTAATATTGTTTCTGTGTCTGAATTATAACATTGCTGTAAAACACTATTGATAAAAGACATGTTATCAACGCTTATATGCATAAATCATAACTTTTATATAAAAAAAGATCCCATGAATCATTTTAGAGAAAAATGTTTATTGCTTCTCTTTGTTTGTAATTACGAAACAGTATGGCTGTGAGCATTATGGATATTATTCTTGTGTGCGTTCGATTTGAATAAAAACATTCGTATCAAATATGATAGGTTAACTATTATATTCACTTTAATGAATTCTGTTGCTTAAACTAAACATGAAACATAGATCACAGCAAAATTTCGAAACCAATTACAAAATTAAACGCAATGTGTTCTGAATTTCCTATCACTCACTTCCAACAATCTTCTGTATTACTAGCTACGCTATAATTAATATTTACGAATGAAACAAATCTCGTATTTCTTTCAGATATGGCTATCGATCTCTTTGACAAATAGTCGTAAAGAGATCTTATTCGGTTGCCTTCATGCTGTGCTCGCATCAAGGTTTCTAATAAATCTCTATTTTATAATCTAGAAAATTACATGATTCACTTATATAGCTACTGGCAAGGTAAAGAATCCAATGGTTGCATAAGAACAATTAGGGTATCATCCATCAACAATGATGTGTGCTACCAGTTTATATGATCTTTAGTATGGGGTTCACTAAAACTAGTTAGCAAGAATATAACTTAATTGCACGTTTGCTGCACAACTCGTCCACGTAAATTTCAATTTTCACAAAATACAACTACAATTACAGTCATGAACAATGACAATGCGTTACAATTGATATACCGAACTTTGAAAAACTTGGCCTTGATTTTATCTTTATTCCCTATATTAAGAATAAAATCAGCAGACTTTTATTTTCAGAGTTCACATTTTTTTCTATGAAAATCTTTGTTAGAAAACCGAGAAAATAGTGATTCTGGCTTCATTTAATATTGACTGGAAATGAAAGGAAAAATAATGACATAGAAGATATTTATTTATATAACCTAAAATAATTTGAAAAGTCAGATATCGTGAATCACTAGAATTCTGTAAAATCTGCTGTCTGGTGCAATTATTCAAAAGACAAAAATGCAACATAGCTGGATTGATATGTCGATATAAGAATTCGATATTGATTTTGCACGATTTACGATGTTATATCAGTACCACGATTATTAATTTCTTGCAAAAAATAAATAGCTAACACTATGATTACCAGGAAAACATACATTTGATATTATTGCCACCCCAAAAAAGGAGCATCTTTATGATATCCCGCACCATGACTTGAATTCCCGCGAATTCAAATTATTTTATGTTTACCATAACCGAGAAAATAAATTGATGTGAAAAATAGTTTATTTACAGTATATATATTATACATGTATGGTAAGAAATTGAATTTGCTTGTCATAATTGCTTTCATTATTGGTTTCACGTATATTATTGCATCTGTTTGATGAATTATATCACCATTGGTTATAAAGTGATCGTAAATGCTGTTCACACATGAGTGTTTGATACTGACAACACCAGTGACGAGTGTGAAATCTCAGTCCTTTTTCAAGGACGCTAGCATCACGTGCAGTGTTTTCAGAAAGATGTTATTACTGAACTAATGTTGTATGTGAAAAGAATATTTATGTATAAATAAATGAGTGAAAACTATCTTATTCTGCTTCGATGTTTTCATTCTTCTTTAACGTGAAAAAATACAATTGTTAAATTTCTAAAAATCTTGTTTTGATTTACCACTTAAAGTTTTTAAATGTATTTCTACATATAGAAAAGCTGTAAAATTGCTTTCAATTACTATTAGCGTTATGATAATCTATATTAAATGATATTAAACTTTATTTGTTTTACAACAATTGCGAATCAAGTTTTTCAAACTTATATTAATCACTCTTGTTGGCCCGGATTGAAGGGCGCGAAGGGTCTTACTGTGGGAGGACACCGGAGTAGCCGCCGGAGAAAACTCACGTGGTTGGACAGGTGATCGCATACATTGTTACATTCCGGGAAACACTTATGTTTCAATCTTTCTTTATTTTTATTTCTCAACTTTTTAACCAGATATTGTGAAAATTGACGCTCGGTTTAATAAATAAGACGCTTTTTGGAAAGTTCAAACGATTATATCGCAATGTTATAAATGTGCATTAATTGAACTTACAATTAACACATAAAAACACATCAGACCGCAGATTGGTGTGCCGACCTTGGATATCAGAAACCTGTAATTTGAGAAAATAAAAATATAAATCACCGAATCACTAAAATCATATAAGGAATCAAAACATGAACACGTAACACAATCATGTCAATATCATAAAAATCTTAACTCAAATTCAATAAAAAAATATGGCAAAATATAAACAAAATAATGATTTCCACGGAAACTTTTGAAAAGTAAAAGGAGAATAAGACAAGGGGTTCCGGAAGAGTATGCGTCTTCTGATTCATCGACATCCGTCATGTAGACTTGGTTAATCCAAGTGTACAATGTAACGTTCTCAATAAGAAGACACGCAACAGCGGAACTAACATTTAAAATAACGAGCATCAATTAAGTCAAGCTATATTAAAAGTACAATATTTCTCTGTGCGAGCACTATAACGACCGTAAGACTTCCCCATAGTTTTCACCAATCAGCATTTTTTAAAAACACTGGTACGATTTAATCCGTCAGTTGACGAATTTTGGAACGAAAATCATGAGAATGAAAACAGGTCTTTGATTATCAACAAGGGACTTGAAATCAGCATGCGTACCACTTTGTGGAAAACTGTTCATGTTGGTTTCGTTGTCGGGAAAGATCGAGATAAGTGGATGATTTGAGGACAAAACATCATCTATACATCTGAAAGTATTCCAAATGTCTGTTGGAAGATCGTACCACCAAACTCGACGAAGATGTTAGCAATCAGAAACTTGATAATTTCTCTAATTCTATCCTTCGAATATTTCTTCTTTGATTGGGACATTTCTCATGAAACACGCTTCAGTATAGTTAACAACCAAATATTTGTACCACCTTTCAGCTTTCTTGGAAACAAAAGCTTTCTTAACGAGGGAGTTCTTTCAGTTTAGAACGAACCGCATAATCCTAAATTTAGATTTTTTTTCTTGAAAATAGGATAATGTGTGAATAATGTTGTGAAGCTCTTAATGTATTGTTATTCATATTAGGTTAAAGGTGAAATCAGCGGTTGTGGTCTGAAATAACAGTTGAAAGCACGCACAAAATGAATTATTTTCAGGAGACTAAGAACAAGGCATCTGATTGATTGACAATTGATGAGACAATTTAGCAATAACAGTCATATTACGAACCTTTCGCTAGCTAAGGTAACTCTATAAAATACATGTACAAGCATTAAATATAGCAATAAGCTCAAGAATTCCAATAACTTACTACTGTACACGTGCTTTTGAATTTAATTGTGAAAGCATGTTAACAAGCAATCAAGTCATTCAGCTGTCAGCTTTGACGACATGGAACCTTTTGAGAATGCAGAATGACATCGTTTAGTTGTTTGATATCAATTTTGATAGACAAATTTACAAATGAAATATGCATGCCTCTAAAATGATACGTAAAGAAAATATTGTAATATTCCAAGTTAGGTGAAATTTATTGATAGTGAACAAATGGTGTGGCTTTACATTTCTAGAATGTCTGATTTTAAATACCAAAGGTCAATTAAGAATACATCTGATTCTCATTATTATTCCGTTTCCGGTAAAATGAATTCTTTATTCATGTGATATTGAACGATAAACAGTAAATAAAACAAGTTAAACAAAACAAAGTCAAATATCTTATCATTTATAACATGTTTACTTATTTCTTGTAGGAAAAAATGAATTCTAAATCGTAAATGAAAACCTTGACACCATAAACTGCATTGACATTTGTAGGTTTCCAGGTCATAACCGAACCATTTGCTGTCTTCGTTTCCAGGCACTATGCCATGCATTATTTGACATTATACATATCACGATAATTTTTCATGATACTTTCGAATATGTTATCCTTCTGTGATGTAGACAGATATTTGAAGACTTGGACACAATTTTTCAAAGCCTAGAGCTCAACAAACTTGACTTTCCGGATGGGATGCATTTTTCTACATCACACAGAGATGACAGGTAATTTTGATCCTGCATGTTAAGAGTGATGCTTAGTCACTGAGCACTGGTTTATATCAAAATTCGAAAAAAGCACGACAGACAATTATGTTTACAAAACACAAGAGACAACAAAGAGAATACCAAATGTCAAAATAAACTGAACTCGAACTCATCTTATGTTTAATTAAGGCGAACTGTGAACAGAAGTCAGTTTTACACGCTTACCTGCCAATGAAAATTTTCTTTTTAACAAATAATTTCTTTTGAAAGTGTTTATATGAGAAAGATTTGTTTACAATTAAACAGCTTAAAAGCATTGCTAAATGTAACCTCGATCATTTTTTTCTAATTCTTGAAGATATATCTTTTCGTTTTGATATTTGTCTAATAGCCAATGTTTAAAACCTCACGTGCATTTGAATTGCATTACTCTGGCATGTTAAGTTTTTGAATCGTTACTACTAGTACAGTGGGAACGCAATTAAACAGAGTGCGGTCGTTAAGATAGTATCCCTGCTGTGATAATGTGACTGTGTTCAAGTAACACATAGTATATGCACGGTCATTAGAAAATACCAAATCCATTTGGTGAACTACTACACTATACAATTTTTTTCATGGGATCATTTTAAACGGAACGGAATATTTGATATTAAACAAACAAACAAGATGAATACAAAACTATCAACTGCTTTATAGCTGAAGAATACAGCAACATCCCCAGACTCACAATCGTTAAAGATGTTGCAAAATACAAAGACGAGCTTTCTTTATTTTCTTCATCAAAGTCACACTTCATGATTAACGTAGGACAATCCAAATAATCACTTTCCCAATTTGAGTACACAACGACATAACTAGGCATCTATACAATTTTCGAAAACATCTACGCGATCTTCGTTTAGTAAAAATAAATTATGTTTTGAAAAGTTCATTCACCTAAACAGTACGTTATACAGCCTAGCGAGTAACATGTAAAGTAGGTAATTCATTACTTGATATAGCGATAAATTTAAAGTAACTAGAAGCTCAGATAACATTGTTTTTTAACCATCAGTTCTGATCGGTATTATTCCATTGTGTGTTCGATAATGTAAATTAAACTTGCTACTTTTTATCGAAATGAAAAAGAAAAAAGAAAAAAACAGAGAAATGAGAGAGCAACCATAACAAAAATCATGTGAGAGGTCCAGACATCCAGTAAATATGTCTATAAAGATAAGCTTTTGTTCCAAGCTAACATAGCACCTGACACTTGTAGCGTTAGAGAACGCTTATCACATTTATCAGTTTTACGATGACACTTACACCCAAATATATTTTCTAAATTGCCCTAACATTTATGTGATAGACGTCTGCGGATGTGCCCTGACAATCGAAATAGGTATCTTTATAAACAAAAACTGACAAAAATGTACTTTTAAAATGATTCCACTTTTTTCAACGACAAAATGAAATAGATATTTCAATGAAATAACATGATGTGAGTACTTCGTGATGAGAAAGGATGTCTAGTTGTCAACTGTGTGATGTCAGATTTCTCTGAACATATGAATCAGTCAATTATAGAGAGACACAATACCGCCACATGGCCACAAAGCTTTAGCACACTAATGTAAAATAACACTAGCTATCTAAGACAACTCGGTATAATACACGTAGCATATCAAGGTCTGACATCTGGTTCAATGAAGAACAAAAAAACCCCAACAAGATGACTACCAAATTGAGCGTACATTCAATACATCAGGGAATTAACGAAAACCGTCAGTGCCTTGGTTGGAAAATCAAACCCATTACGACTATGAAATGTGATCTGTAAATGAGTTTATGTCTCTATCAAACAGCCTTTGTGCACATTACGTTTACTACAGTCATTAGTACATTATTGACCAAAATCGCCCATTCGTGTTCTGAGCAGCGTCCTTTGTTCCACGAAACATTTGGTCAATTATTATCATATTCGCCAGTGTGCAAGATGAGGCTTTATGTGTGCATGTAATCTACTCCGGACGTCCGAAAAAACAAATCAATAAAACTGCCGATGCCGTCCCATCAAGTTATTTTTTCAGTCTGTTGTTTTGTGTTTAACTACTTTTCATTAACATATTTTCAAACCATATTAGTTGTATGATCGCAAAGTAAGTCTTCATAAACGCTTATGCTTTGCGTTGCATGGTACGCTTAAATCTTGTTGCATGGTATGCTTTTAATCGTGCGTTGCATGGTATGCTTTGAATTGCATAGTATGGCATGCTATGAATTGCGAGTAGCAAGGTTGCAAGGTAGCTGCAAGTTTAAACTTCACATTATGTACCGTATTTTTGGCTGCTTTAAGATATCATTTGGTCAAAATCATATCAACTGTGGATTTTCTTGAGAAAACCTCTCTTGCATAATTGCAACATCTGGGAGGAAGAACATAAGATAATTGAATATAGTACGGGGATTTTTTTTTCGACAAATATGGCATGAAATGACATTCCTTTATCTGATATTTATACCAGTGATCTACTTAAAGTTATATGTTAATTT